ATACACAACAACTGTGTAAAATAGAAATACACTCCACAAATACACCGATTACTCATTCATTGTGCTTCATGATAGTGGTTTAAAAAAGTATCTGAGCATGTTTTGTTACTGATACAGCAAACCTAACTGCACTTGTGTGCTTAAAAAGTGATCACTTAATGAACTGAGGAGACAGCTCTCAAAAGAAGAGATGAAAATGGCCAGTAAGTACATGTAAAAATATACTATGCTCCTAGCCAGAAAAGAAATGCAATTAAAAACTACATTGGTTCCTTCTCACCCTAGTCTTAATAAGGATCAAGAAACAACAACAACAAATGCTGGAAAATATGCACAGCAAAATGGACACTTCCGCATTGTAGTGGGGAAGGGAAATTAGTCTAGCCACTATTGAAATCTGTACAAAGGTTCCTCCGAAACTTAGAAATCTTTAAAGCTATCTATATGATCTTGCTGTATACCACTCCTGGGTATACACTGCCAGCTCACCATAAAAATACCTGCACACCCACATCTATTGTAGACAAGCTGTGAAGTCAGCCTACATATTCACCAATAAATGAATAAATGATTATTTGCTTTGCTTAGCTTACAAAGAAATGGGTTCCTTATGACTTCTTCATACATATATATCATTATATCTTGTTCTTATCACCCACCTGCCCTTCCACACTATACATCCCCCATTTTGCTGTTCACTTACCCCACCAATAGTCCCCCCTTCTTCTGTTTTCATGTTGCATACCATCCACTATCATTTGTCCCCACTACCACAGTCTCAGGCCTCTTCCCCCTGTCTCAACAGCACTCTTTACACACACACACACACACACACACACACACACACACACACATTTAAATCTAGGTTCCACGTGTGACAGACTTTGACTAATTTCATATAACACAATGATCTTCAGCTGCATCCAATTAACTGTAAATGGAATACCTTCATTCTTCTTTATAGCTGGATAAAATTCCATCATATAAGCACCACTCTGTCTTTACGTGTCTAGTGATGGGCATCGAGGATGGTCCCATATCTTGGCTATTGTAAATGCTGCAGCAAAGCACATATGTGCCATCATCTCTGCTGTGTTCTGACATGGGATCCTTTGGAAATATACCCAAGGGGAGCAAAGCTGGATCATATGGTTGTCTTAGTTTTAATTTTTTTGAGGAACCTCCATTACTGATTTCCGCAGTGGCTGCACTCTTTACACTCCTACAGGCATAGGGTAAGAGTTCAGTTTCTCCACATCCTCATTTGCTGCTTGCTCTATTGATGGCAGCTTTTCTGACTGCGGTAAGAGAGAATACCAATGAGGTTCTCATAGACACGACCCAACATTGAAACTTTAAAACAGATCAGAGAATGAATCGTTCTACTGCAAACACTCAGGCCTGACAAATAAACCAAAAAGACTAAGAAAATCAGTTGCCTCACAGCTCCAACTTCTACCTCACTCCCTCACAAGAAACTAAAAATGAAGTCAGGTGCCCACTACATTTCTCACTCATTTCACTCTGTGACCTCCCTACCAGCAAAATGCTTCACTGAGGTCCCCAAACACTTGATGGCCTCTCGACTGCAAAGTCTCAACATCTCCCTCTTCTTCTGTATGAATGTAGTTTTGACTAAAAGCAGATACACTACAGGGCAGAAATAACTAAAATTCACTAATTCCCCTCCATGAAGAGCTAGATCCATGTCTTGGATCTAGAATTTTAAAGATTTATGTGTGGATTGGCCCAATATAGAAATTAATACTTTCTATATTCAGATTATTCTTAATCCATCTTATAAAAGAATATATTGCAATTTGAACTATGAATCACAATCCGAATCCGAACAGTGTGTTATTAATATCACAACATTTAAACCTGGGTGATTATAAAGTGAACTAAATTAATTAATACAGTGAGCACAATAAAATGGAAATTTGAAGGCACTTGAAAACAGCTCCCTGAACTATTTTCTGAGGGGCACAGACTAAAATAGAAGGGTTACTGTTCCATTGCTCTTCTCAGCCCTGCAAGAAGACCGGTTTCCAAATGGCACAAGCAACAACATTAGGTGTGCACTTCAGTGGTAGATTCACAGTGACATCTACAAAGACATCTACAAAGACGGTCGGGAGATCGAAGACCAGAGGGGAGGTCACACTGTGGCTACCAATATTCCTTACATTCTTTGAAGCATCATAATACTGCAGAGAATCCAGACATAGAAATTCAGAACAGTCCCTTTCTGCCTGGATTTGGATCAAACAATCCATTAAGAATCCTATACAGACAGATTTCAAATTATGTGGTCAAGGTCTCCTCTGTACTGTGTGGTTAACATGATATCCATTCATAAACTCCTTCTCTCATACTCATTCTCTCTCCTCCTTTCTTTCCATCTTGCTTTTATTAATAAACCCAGGGGAGATCATTAGAATATCCTTTTCCCTAACTACAGTCTACCAGTGGTTTTGACACTCCAATGGAAGATTGAGGGAACACAATATGGCAATTTTCTAATTCTAGGATTCATTCTAGGATATCACACTCCTGAAAGATGACATCTTTTGTCAAATTCAACGTAATTTAAATTGCATCATCATTTTTTACATTAAAATTGTCCCAAATTAAGCCAGTTGAAAAGTTCATCACAATCATCCAGATAGTTTCCTAAGTGTACTTAACATATGTTTTTGAGATGAGGTCTCAGTGTGAAGCCTAGACTGGCCTGGAATTTACTGTGTAACCCAAGGGAGGTCTTAAATCAAAGTAGTCCTCCTGCCTCAGCCCCCTGAGTTTTCGGATTATAAGTGTGCACTGTGGCTGACTAATATTTCTTTGATAATTTTTTTCTTTTTTTTTCTTTTTAGAGACAGAGTTTCTGTGTATAACCCTGAATGTCCTGGAATTTGCTATGTAGACCAGGTGGCCTCAAACTCACAGAGATCTTCCTGCCTCTGCCTCCCAAGTGCTAAGATTAAAGGTGTGTGCCACCACCACCCACTGGACTGTTAATTTTCAAGTACAAGTTTAAAAGCACTTGTCAAGTGAAAAATCTTACATTTGTCTCATACACTTTTGTTAACTCTTGACTTTAAGTAACTTGACACTTTCAGTTTAGCACTGTCTAGTTTGATGACCACATCAAAGACTCTGAGACGAGGGTGTCAGAGTTAAAATCTGCTGTCATCATAATGATACTGAACTCTGGCTTACCATGCCCTGTTCAAAGCTTTCACTTCAACTGCATCTTGATTTGTGATGACAACTGGATTTCTCACTACTAAATGCTTGAGTATTTATCTAACTGACAAATGACAAAATCAAAAGAATTTAATGTTGTCTTGATTTTCGTACCAAGTTCCACTTATTGAAAGCTTTAACCCTGCCAATGTCTTTTCAGATGTGCTATCATTTAGCAGTCAACTTAGTAAAGTGTTAGGATAATGGTCTTAGTACTTACTTACTTATATAACACAAATATTTTAATGACTTTACATTAAAACAAGCCAGTTTTAACCTGTTCTATTGTAAGCATAAAACATGGACTGTGTTAAATAATAGATAAACTTTAAATAATGTTTACATTACTAATCTGGAGGGGGGAGTGAAGTGTGGGCCATGCATACCTGCAGAGATTAAAGGACAATTTGCAGGAGTCGGTTCTTTCTTCCCATCATGTGAGTTCAGAGATCAAATTTAGTTATGAGCTTTAACAGCAAGTCTCCTTACCCAGTGAAACATTCCACAGGCCCGATAATCTTTTTTCTTAAAGTGTGACTTTACATTTCTATGTTGTGATTAATTTTGCTGTCCATGCTAGGATGTAAAAGCCAAGGACCTGTGCTGTTTGGCTTGGTGGGGGTGTTGCTTTAAAGACTCAGGAGAATGTCTGGGATGATGGCCACTTAACACACTTGTTGATGATATTAGGTGAAATGAACACACCAACACAGGCCTGTGCCCCATTGTAGGGTGAACTACACTGTAGCTGAACTACATATGCTCACTTTAGAATGAGCTTCATGGCTAAGACATGATGTGATAAAATTAACAAGAAAGTTATTACATGTGTGAGTACAATATACCATGTGCACACTGGAAGGAGTTCAAATCTGCCTAACACGGCTGGGTGGGGTGGGACTGTGCAGGAGGAATGGCCTAAGTGCTAGAGGGAAGCAACCATCCCCTATAGGCAGAAAATTCCTAATTTTACTAAGTAGTTTCTTTTATTCCATCTTTCATTACCAGTACATTATTTAAACATGGCCTTTCAAAGACAGGCACATCGTGGGTTATTTTTGATATTTATCTGATGCTTTTTGTTTGTTTGTTTTGTTTATTTTAGCAATCACTTTGAGGCGATACTTGCCCAAAGGCCTATGCTACTGAATTATTAACTCCCTGGATGTTCATATAGATGAAATTAAATATAATTACCCCAAGTTAAGAACCAACTAAGTAGCCAGGCGGTGGTGCATGCCTTTAATCCCAGCACTCAGGAGGCAGAGTCAGGCAGATCTCTGTGAGATTGAGGCCAGCCTGATCTACAGAGTGAGTTCCAGGACAGCCAGGGCTAAGCAGATAAACTCTGTCTTGTATATAAAGACAAGGACCAAGATATATAGCGATAAGCCTGGAAGCAAAAATGCCCTGCCAACACCCAGTTTGTGGTTTTTAAGTATTATTTTCTACTAAAGGACTGAGCATTCTTGAGAGAAATTGTTGGTTTTATGTGTGTGTGTGTGTAAATATATATATATATATGTGTGTATATATATATGTGTATATATATATGTATGTATATATATATATATGTCAGGAGATGTACAAAGTAACACTAGAACATGCCATTAGAAATCATTAGAAATCAAAGATTTTGAGCTAGACCACTGGCATCATGACAAAAGAATTCAGGAGCCAACTCACAAAAACCACAAACCAAAGACAGAGCCCACACATCAACAAGAATTCTACAGGATTAAAGCACACTATAACAACAGTCTTCAAATCATTAATCATGTTGAGAATATCCTAGAGATGACTCATCAACTTGAGAACTTACAAGTGAATTTGAAAACACTTTAGCGCTTGTCTTGACTTTCCTGTATGATGATGACCAAGCAGTGAAGAGCATGTCCTCTTTTGAGACAGTCCCCCTGGAAAATGAAGACAGTCAAGTCAAGATACCGCTCTTCTTCAACCCCCTAAAGATATGACAAATGATCAAAGAAACCAGTGATGGGTATACGCCTACAATCCTAGCACTTCGGGGGCTGAGACAGGGAGGTCAAATGTCAAAAGGCCAGACTGAGCAACTTTGTGAGACCCTGTCTCAAAAGTCCAGGACAGGAAGGGGAGAGGAGGAGGGAAGAAGAGCATGATAACATAAAAGACACAAAAAGGGATATACTATGAATCCTGTAATAACTATTACCAACTAATGGACTATAGAAAATCAAACCTCCTTGCATATAATTTGAAAAGTCCCATAAATGATTCTCTATTTCTTTCACTCATCACCTGGAAACACTGTACTAGAACATACAAATGACACTTTTATGTCACTACTTCTCTTGGCCTAATTCTATTTGCACTTTTATAGCAAGTCTGCATCTAGTGTCACTAACTATAACATAAATATTCCCAGCAATCTGCATGATATACAATACTGGGACTGATTTTACTCATTCCCTCCTACTGATCTCCAGATTTAAAGCCAGACTACCATTTAGTTTGCCTTTCTCCTCACTTACCAGGATCCACTAGACCAAGGTATAGATGAAACACTTCCGTTGAAGCTATGTTCCAACCCTGCTTCATCTCTCTTTGTGTCTGAGTCACAAACACCAGACTTGCCCTTCATCCTGAAGGCAGCTGGGCTCCAGGAACAGATAAATGCTTAATTACCTCATTCTATTTTTCCAGACAAACGTATTGCCATAACAGTATCACATATGAAATACCATCATTCAGGTCTATTTAAGGGTGTACTATGGTGTGAGCTACCTGAAAAAAAAATGTAGTATAGAAAATAACTGCTTGCCATTTTATTGCATCTTTGTTGTTGAGCCTGCCCCACTGCTGCTATACACTACTTAGTGTGAAGGGCAGAGGTTCTGAAGCCACACAGGAAAGATCCCACCTCCAACTATTAGGTAATATACAGGTTACTTATTTCTCTGATTATTCTGTCTTATCTTTAAAATGACAATATCAATGTATGTTACTTTGGAGATTTATGGAGGTAGAATGTAATAATACTTTGAAAGCATTTGGAACAGGAAACAGAATAAGGGTTTGTTTTGTTTTCCTTCTTTAAAATCAATGGATATTATTCTTTGTAGATGCAATTGCAGATAACACAATAATATCTGGACAACAAGTTGAGCAGGTTTTTTAGGGGGAAAGCCCAATGAGTTTCCTTATGGGGTGTTTCCTGTTATTTTGATTGTGCTTTTAAAACAAGGGCTTGCCATGTAGTCCAGGCTGGCCTCAAACTTGCCACAATCCTCCTGCCTCAGCCTCCCGAATGCTGAGATTCCAGATGGGGGAGAGGAAGGGGTAATAAGCCATCACAATTGGTTTCCCTTGGATTCTGTTCCCTTCCCTTAAGGACCACCCAGAACAGCAGGACAGGTTGTCGCTGTCCTTGGTGCTGGTAGCTGCAATATCTTGCTCCACAAGCATTGCCCCTAACCCAAATGCTTTTCCTTCAGCTTGAGTAAAGCTCCCATTTCATTCTGCTCATTTGCTTTTTCCTTGTACTACTGCGATTTCCTTGTGTTCCCTTCAAGAGAAAACAATTTTGTATTTTCTTATTTATGTTTTAATCCCCAGAAACATTAACTATACACAAAGCAGCTTAGAAATTGGTGCAGAGTACCCTTTACTTAGCAAGTTTCAGAGGAGTTCAAAGCTCATACATTACATGAAGCAATGTGATTGTGGTGAATATTTTAACGACTTCAGGACATGCTGGAGATGCAACCTAGCATGCACCAGGCCCTGGGTTCAGTCGCCAGTACTAAAATAATTAGGCAAACAGATAAAGACTCTCTTCAATAAAACTCCTCTTAAAAATTCTCTGAACTTTCATCCAGAGTTAAACCCCACTCTTCTTTAATACCCAAATATCCAGTAAATATATTTCAGTAAAAATAGCATATTAAAATGTATCTCCATATTAAAAGTTAGAATACAGAACATAGTCAATAAATATACATGGGACTAAATTTAGTTACTGGGTCTATTAGAAAAAAAAAATGGTCCTTGCAGCGTCCTAAAAGACAGACTTCTGGGGCTAGAAAAGATGGTTCAGTGGGTAAAAGAGCTTGTTACATAAACATGAGAATCTGAGCTCAGATCACAGCATCCACATTAAAAAAAAATTGTCCAGCACACAGCTGTCACCACAGTACTAGGGGGAGAGGACAGGCAGAGACAGAATCAGAGAATCTTCCAGGCTCATTGGCCACCAGACTAGCTCAAGGTTCAAAGAGAGACTGCAGTAAGACATGACACTCAGTGTCCTCTTCTGGCCTCTGGTCTCTTCTGGCACACACACATAAATATGCTCATAAATATGCTCATACGTCAAATACACACACACACACACACACACACAAAGCCTTCCGTGTTACATTTAATTGTGGGTTAAATTTCTGAGTAGCAAAGTTTTACTGGTAAAAATATCCTAGACTGAATCTATTTGATTCCATGCATTAATATCAGCCTGCTGGTTTGGTATTTCCACTTGCCAGCAAACACCAATGCCATTCATTCCAGAACCCCCGGCTTCCCATTATCCATCAGTTCTACCTGTGAACACCTGTGACAGCAAATACATTTGGGACTGGTTCCCAAGAAGAAATATAAACAGTTTGTGCACATTTAGCCCAGAAAGAGACTTCATTGCTCTGCTGAAGACTACATGTGAAGTAGTCATCAACAAATAGTTCTACTGTGGGATCTGACAAGGAAGTACCAGAAGATATGTTCCGGAGTTTTTGGTTTGTAAAACAATAAAACACTTGGACTCCCTTGAAGGCTGTCTTCATCAGCACTCTGAACCTATTTTGTAAAGAACTTCCCAGCCATCCTCATGCAGCATCTCCCCAGAGCTGTTTGGCAACATACAACTTGTGGCTCTCTTCCAATTTTTACTGCAGCATCAGTTGTTAACATTTCAAATTTGTAAAACAATATGTTCATCAAACTCCCCAAGGAAGACTAGGGGGAAATGCAACACTTGATCTTTACATCTTCAGAGAAGGGCTTAATGACAGGTTCAGCCTGTTTAACGACAGGCCCAGCACCACGCCCATGTTTTATTGTTTCATTATTCCTGCATAAATACCCCTTATTATACATGATAACTAAAAATCAAATACTTGCTGAAGTGGGTTTAAACAGGTAAGAGGGCAAACTAAGCTATACATATGCAGTGCATATGTGGAACTGGACCTTAGGGGTTTTGGAAGCCTGGCTAGTTATACAATGATTATTGTGGATTCCAGAGACCTTTCCGTTTCTGCCTCCCAAGTAGCTAAGTACAAGCCTGCGTCCAGGGATCTTAAGTTGTTATGATCTAATTTTGTGTATGTGACCTTATCTCTGTCTCTAACACATTATTTTTTAACTTCAGGATTACAAGCACAGCTCAAGGGGGGGGTAAAAAACACGCAAAACAGGATTCTTGGAATGTTTTACTATTTTTTTCTGGCTGGCTAAATGTGAAGACATAGCCAAATATTGCTCTATCTGATGCAAAATACGAAACCCGTTAAATTCAAGTATTGCCTAGAAATGACAGATGTTGTCACTTTCAGACATCTTCAGAAGGTAGGAATTTTTTCCCCTAAACGTTTTCTTTCGACCACTAGATCCCAAGGGAACGATTAACGTCTCTAGAGCGAAACCCGCAGGTCTAGACTAAATAAAGGCCTCTGCTCCGCCTGCTGGGTTTTTTCAAACTTTTCCAAACATCGAAACCCGCTGCGTTGCGTTACCGAGCCCTGACTGAAATCTTCTGCGCATGCCTCTAAGATCTTCCGACGTTGGGTCACCCCGCCCATTCGTGTCTTGACGCCACGAGAGGTGGGCGGTGCCGGTCGATGGGCGTGGTCTGAGGGGGCAGGGCCGACGGCGGTGCCGACCGTCAGCCGCAGCAGCTCATTGCCCTCGGGCTCCCCACCGCGCCCCAGCCTGCTGCGCTCGCGGTGTGGTTCCCAGGCGCTCCGCTCTAGCCGGTGCGCTCCCAAGGATAGACACGGACGCTGCTGGGTCCCCGAGGAGCGGAGGAGCTGCTCACGGACCAGGCTGCGGCAATCTCACGGCCAGCGGAGAACCATCCCTGCCGCTCCGCGTCGGGGCTGCGAGAGGAGGACAAGGGCATGCTGGGCGGCGGCAGTGACGCGGGCCTGGCCACCGCCGCTGCGCGGGGACAGGTGGAGACAGTGCGGCAGCTCCTGGAAGCCGGCGTAGATCCCAACGCCGTCAACCGCTTCGGAAGGCGCCCGATCCAGGTAGCCGGGACCCCAGGGCCTCACCGGCAGGGGGCGCACGAGCGCGGTGCACTCCGCGGCTACAAGTTGTGAATGGGCACCACTTGGGCCGCGGGCTGGTGCTGGTGCTGGACGCACGTACGCCCCAACGTGAGGTTTTGAAAGAGCAAAAATTCTGAAAAGCAATCGGAAGCACTTGCTTAGCTTTTTCTTCCTTTTGAGATGCTGGATCTGGAACCCACGACCCTGTACACGCAGGGCAAGTGTGCTACCCTTAAGCAAATTCCCCAGCCTCCGGATCTTTGTAATGGTGGGAAATTACCAATATTTCTTCTGCCATCTTACAATCATAGTTACAAGGCGGGCCTTCGGGAAGAGAAGAGGGAAAGGAAGGGTCAGATAGAGCGACACGATAAAGATGAGTAGATAGATTACCAGTTACATGGCCTGGAGTAAAGGAATTAACACAAAATTGTAACCTGTGAAGGGAGAGTTTTCGCTGTGAACTTGTAAACAACAGTATGAATCTTTTCTAATTTTTTTTCTCCTCATAAATCAAATCGCATTCACAGAACTAAAGACTTCCCAAACCCAGCACTTAATTCCTTGTAAGCGGGCAGTGATAGTGCATAGTTTTTCACTGTTTAATGCGAACAAGCAAAGGGCTCCCAACAGAACTTTTGGGTCCTTTCAGAATGACAAGTAGGTTCCCTAAATATTCTCTTAATTTGCTCAGTGTTTACTAGTCCTGCTTTAATTAGTATTGGCTTTATTTCTTGAAGATTTGACGCGATGCATTTGTGTTCTGTTGACTATTATGGTTGTCTTTGTTATTCATGTCTCTGTCCCTCTGGAACAAAGGAAATAAGGGCTCTTGTTAATAGTGTGGTTTTTTAAGAAAATAAATATTCATCCCTTTTGAGTTTTTAGAAAAAAGGGGGTGCTTAACAAAAGGATATTTAAATGCAACAAAAATATTGTAAAGTGATTATAAAGACCTTATGAAAATAATTTTTATTTACGATTTTATTTTCTTTACTGAAAACTGTTTTTTTTTTTTTCTTTACTGAAAACTTTTAAATCTTCCTTTGGTGACTGTAAAAATGGCCTTTGTTGTTGTCATATGAATGCCATGTTATATTTCTTGAAGAAAGGAATGTTTCTAATGTTTGTGTGATAAAAACTGACACATGACCACTGCCTCTCACTACATGTAGATTTCAAAGACCGTTGGCCCACAAGAACCAGTGACTGTTTAGGACAATTAGATACCAAAAACTGTTTTACTATTAATTTAGTATTTGCATAGTGCACAAAATAGCTGCTATAGGATTATATCTCCAAAACAACATTTTTCTAAATTATGCATCTTTGTGATTTAATAGCTACCAGCCAAGCTTTTTATTGTATCTTCATATATAAAAATACCACTAAACATCAAATTTTTATACAATGCAAATGAATGTCGATTTCATATGACAAAGTATTGCTCTAAACTTCCCACTGTATGTCACATTAGGTTGAAATGTTAAAAGATGCTCATCATTTACAACAAATAATTTGTTTCTATAATGTATGAGAAGCTTGGAATATGACACCTCTCCTCTGGTCTCCACTTCTAGCTCAAATGATCAGAATACATTAAGTTTTTGAGCACAGGAGTACATGACATTGAAAGAGCGAAACCTTTCTTTTAAACTGACTTGTTTTTTGTTTTCTCCTCTAAAGCACTGTTCTAACTTCTTTAAAAAAATATTTTATTTTGGTATTATATTAATATCCCTTAGAAGGCTGCTTGGTTGTTTTCTAAAAGGATACAGAAAGGGAGTCATTCTGGATGAGGGGAGATAGGGAGGGGCTCGGAGGAGCAAAGGGAGGGGAAACCATAATCAGGATAAATGATGTGAAGGGGAAAAAAGTCTATTTTCAATAAAGGGGGAAAATAAAAGATAAACACCATGACCAAAAGAAACTTGGAGAGAAAGGGGGTTACTTGGCTTAAGGCTTAAATGCTACAGAGTGTGGAAGTGAAGGCTGGAACCTGGAGGGGGTGGAGCTGAAGCAGAGGTCACGGAGGAACACTGCTTACTGGCCTGTTTCTCAGCCTTCTCACACCTGCCAGGACCACCTGGCACACCTACAGTGGACTGGGTCCTCCCACATCCATCATTGGTGGCAATGTCCCACAGATGTGCCTGCACCAGCCCATCTGGAGGAGGCTTTTCTCAGTCCAGATTCCCTTCCCAGATGACTAGCCTTTATCCCCAGAGGGATAAAGAAAGCAGCCTAGAAAACAGTATGAAGTGTTACAAAGTCTGGCTCTGGCATCCTGCCTGCAGTGATGGCACAAAGCTTGTGGGAGTAGCCACCCAATGCCTGGTCTGTTTAAAGGCCCACTCCACAAGATGGAACCCATACACAACACAGCTTGGGCAACCAAGAACCAGAACTAAATATAATAGCCCAGGGTCTTAAGGGAACAGCAAATAGTACTGTTGGGGGTGGCAATAAAAAGACTAATACTGACATCCTACTGTCATATGTCAGTGCCTTGCTCGGCCACCTTCAGAGAAGCTTCCCCCTGTAGCAGATGGGAACAGATACAGAGACCCACAGACAGACATTATGCAGACAGTGAGAGACTTTGGAACACTCAGCCTTAAACTGGAGTTTTCCATCAAGCCCCTCCCTTCGGGGCTCAGGGAACTTAAAGAATGTAGGAGCCAGAGGGGATGGAGGGCACCAAGAAGACAAAGCCCTCTAAATCAGCCTTAGCAGTATGACTGAGGCAGTGTGGCGCACTGGGCCTTCACAGGTCTGCACCAGGTCCTCTGTGTACATATTATGGCTTCCAGCTTAGTTTTTTTTTAAGGGATTCCAGTGTATAAGAGTGGGTCCCTGAGGCTTGTGCCTCCTCTTGGGCTCTTTCCCTCTGTTTTATCCAATTACAGGGTATTAGTTTTTCTTTGTTATATTTTATTTTGGTATTATATCCCTTAGATATTTTGGTATTAATATCCCATAGAAGGCTGCTTGGTTGTTTTCTAAAGGATACAGAAAGGGAGTCATTCCGGATGAGGGGAGATAGGGAGGGGCTCGGAGAAGCAAAGGGAGGGGAAACCATAATCAGGATAAATGATGTGAAGGAGAAAAAAAGTCTATTTTCAATAAAAGGGGGAAAATAAAAGATAAATAAAAAGCCCGGTTCAAAGTGAGCTATAAAATCACTCAAAATAAATCCCTGCTGTCCAATGTTCCATATTACAAATAAGCAATTTGTCTTCCCTTTCCTGTTGCTTCACCTACACAGAGTAAGAGAGATTTTATTTTGAGTTCAGTCTAGGCTTTAACGGTTATGGAGTGGATTACGCAGGCAAATGAGAAACCAGAAGATGGAAACTTTGAGGGCTAGAAACTGCGCTCTATGAAATAGCCCTGCCCCCATCCCTAAAGACACTGAGCGCTCTCTCTTCCTTTCCCCCTCAGGTCATGATGATGGGCAGTACCCAGGTGGCAGAGCTGCTGCTGCTCCACGGAGCGGAACCCAACTGTGCTGACCCCAACACTCTCACCAGACCTGTGCACGATGCGGCTCGGGAGGGCTTCCTGGACACACTAGTGTTGCTGCACAGGGCAGGGGCACGGCTGGATGTGCGTGACACCTGGGGCCGCCTGCCGGTGGACCTGGCTGAAGAGAAGGGTCACCATGATATTGCAATATATCTGCACGCTGCCACTGGAGACTGATGGCAGATTCCCTCAGCTTTCTGTCAGGACTTTTTTTTTTTCTTCACCCCAGCACCATCTAGGCAGACTGGCAAGCACGAAGGGGAGCTGTGTGCAACCTGCAAGTCTTCCCAAACTCAAAGCCTATCCAGGAAGGCTAAGCCAATCAGAAATAACTTCCTAAGTGTTTTCCTGCATCTGGCCCTCTATTCTCACCCTGAAGCCAAAGGGATCACCAATTTGATTTAGTTTTGTGTGATGTTCCAGGGGCCCTTTACTTTTCAGAACTTGGGGTAAAAGAACAAGGGAAGTTCTTGAATCTCCACAATAAGATGTTGCAGTGGGAAGTGGGAATTGGAGAGTGTGGTGCCTGACATCTGGAGGGAGCAGTCAGTACCTTCCCCTGTGAACTGCAAAAGCAGATGACTTACAGGCTAGAGTGAAACCCTGAATCAGAGTAGGTGGGAGGCACTGAAGTGCGCCTGGGGCTTGGAGCCACTGTTACCCGTGGTGGTACACCTGCAAAATGGAATTCTACTGAAACTGGGGTCCCACCCCTGGCTCCCCCTGGAAAATAGTGTTAGAGGACAGCAGATTCCTGCTGTACTCTGTTCAACCTACACAAAGTCCAATGGTGAATGGTAGTATGTAGCAATTTGCTCTATGTGAAACAGTTTAAGAACCCTAAGGGAATTTCCTACATTTGAGCTCTTTAGTAACAGTGTATTGAAGGAATTACATTTTTAACAGTGTATCTTCTGGTCCTCAGCAGAGGTGAGACTGAAGTACTGCTTGTTTTTGTTTGGTTGGGTTTTTGTTTCTTTCCCTTCTTTCCTTCTTTTTCAAGGTCCTGCCTTCTTCTGTAGCTCAAGCTAACCTCAAGTCAGGGTACTCCTGCCTTAGCCTCCTAAGTACTGGGCTTGTAGCAGGCACCCCTTCTGGAGTATGGCTTCATAGTGAAACTATGACAGACACTCCCAGTGGCAATACACAGCCTGCTTTCATCCTTGACCTGTTTACTTCTCTGTTCATTGTTTCCCCTATATAGTGTCTCAGGGGAACTATTCGAGATGTCCTTGGGCTACTTCCTAAAGGTTAGGCAAAAGAGGTTGAGTATGAGCTTACTGAAATTAAATGACAACTTGTGAGCTGCTTTGCTTGTCTACTGAACAAATTGTGAACACACTCTGAGGGGCTTCCATTGTGGCTTGGTTCATTAGAGCATTGAAACAATTGATACATCCTTGTTTTAATAAAGAATAAAACAGTATAGGTAGACTCCAAACTGTGACTAATCTGGCGTTAAGGTATATTTCCAGAGCTGGAGAGATGGCTCAGAGAAACCAAGTTCAGTTCTGAGTAATCTTATCAGGTGGCTCACAACCACCTATAACTCCAACTCCAAGGAAGTTCAATACCTCTGCCTCCACAGGCACCTTCATTCATGTTCACACACACACACACACACACACACACACACACACACACACACACACACACCACTTTTTAAAAAGCTGAAATAAATCTGGGGCTTGGAGTGAGATTCTCAGTGATTAAATGCCTTTGCTGTTATTCTAGACCCATTCAGTGCCCAGCAACCATGTCAGGTCCAGGATATTACAAACCTCTGCAAGCACCCATACATGGCACACATTTGAACATTTACACAACTTTTTTACCAAATTAATGTATTTCTATGGGTTTACCACTAATTCTCCAATGTTAAAAGATTCAAAAGTGCTCACTAGTTCTGTCCTTTATAATATATGAACTCTGGTGGTGATTTCAATAATTTATTTTTAAAATATGCTTAGAGTAAAACATAAGATTTACATTTTATGCTTCTAGGTGTCCAATGTACTGAATATTTGTCTAAGAGAAGAGGAACTAGAAAAGTAATCTGAGAGTAGAGACATAAAATGTTCCCTTTAAACACACAAAACTTTCCTATCAATTCCTTATTTCCCAAATTAATATATTACCAAAGAAAATGAGTTAAGAACTAAACCATATCTTCTTGGGGAAGGGAAACATGATTATTGATACAGTTTACACTGAGCATGTTCTAAAGCTCATTTGTTCCTTCAACACTTAAACCTTTTATGATGTTGCAAAAGTAAGTCAAAAAGCCCCAAAATGTGGGTCTTTTAAAGTTTACAAATAATGGTACTTCTTTGGCTTGAGGAAGAGGAGGCTGGCAAGTCTAGTATCCAGGGTTTTTTGCTTCACCATAATGTGGCAAAAAAGGCAGTATTTGGAAGACCCCGGGAGAGGGCAAGTTTGGCAAGTCCCATTAGTTAACTCATGAGGGTGGAGCCCATATGGGCTAAGCACCTGTTCTAGTCTCATTCTGTTGCTGCAATAAACACTAACCAAAAGCAATTTGGAAAAGGAAGGGGTTTATTTGACTTACAATTTAAGACCTTCAAGGGAAGCTAAGCCAAGAACCCAAAGCAGGAAGTAAAGCAGAGACACCGAGGAAGGCTGCTAATTGGCTTGCTCCTTTGCACTTGCTCATCTTGCTTTCTCCTATAAACCTGGAGTTTCTCCTATATACCTGGAGTAGCACCACCCACAGTGGGCTGGGCCTTCCCTCCTGAACCAATAATCAATAAAATATTCAAAGATTTGCATGCTGGACTGTCTGATGGAGGCATTCCCCGGGTGAGGTTTCCTCTTCTCCAGTGACTCTAATTTATGTTGCACTCACAAAAACTACCCAGCACAGTACCTCCCCTTGGTTTCTACCACCACTCAGCACAGAACCATTGGGGGTTAAGTTGTCAACAAGCTTGAGGCTTGAGGAGACACATTTAAAGGATGGATAGCAGAGGCCCTTTTTACAAATATCACTTCATCACCCTGCTATATTAATTTATATTAACAGGTCATATCCCCTATGTCTTTGCATATGGCTTTCTCTCAGTCTCGTTGTTATGGACCCTGTCATCCTTTATGTGTGCTGCCAAGTTCTGCTTAAAGAACAAATCCTTAAGACTGACACGGTGGCTCAGTGGTTAAAAACACTGGCTGTTCTTCCAAAGGGCATGGGCTGAATTCCCAGTACAAGCACGGCAGCTCTCATGTGTCTAATTCCAGTTCCAGGGGACCTGACACCCTCATCCAGACATACATGCAGGCAAAACACCATAATCATATGCATTTAGAGTACAAAAATGTTAGGATTTCTGAACCCAGTGGGGAATGGTTAAATCAAGCTAGTTAACACATTTATCACTTAAAGCAAGATTATAGTAAGTGAAACAAGAGGCATATCACAAAAATACCAGAGGAGAAGAATGTTTGCTTTTGTCTTTAATTCTAGTGAGTATTGTGGTAAATACAGAAATACATGATCTTTCTTTTATCTTCCAGGGGTGGCTGTTCTCATGTAAAGCCAGAAATACAAACGCTAAATATAGCGTTTAGTAAAACATGATTTTTACTAGTTTTTATAGAATAACTCCTCCCAAAAACTCAAAATTATTATCATAAATCTTTCATCTCTGTCTAAACAGACTTAATTCTAAGTCCTCTAACAAGAGACCCTCCCTGCTCCAGGACTCCACTCCCCAGGATTCTACCTCTTGGTGAGGCCCCAAGAGTCCCCTTAACTCTTTCCTGCCTAGTCTGTCAGCCTTCCCTTCTAGCCCATCTTCATACTTTATGTCAGTCACTGACCTGCAGATACACTTTCTGTCAGGGACCCCCCAGTGGCCACAGTGAGCTGAGACCAGGGTAACCGATGATCACTACCCTCCCTGACATCCATTCTCCCCTCCATAATTACTCTTACTCCAGTCGCAGCCTGCTTGCAGGAGCTCCTCCTTCCATCCTAACCCCCCTCTCTGAAGACTCCATCTCTGGTGCAATCTGTTGCACCCAGCTCCTTCCCACTGCCTCTCTCAGCCTTTTCTCCTAGCCCATCACCATTACTTCTTGTCACTCACCAACCCACACACACTCCACCAGGAAACTCCACAGCCACCACACTTGCCTAAGACCCAGAGTGGATGGTAACATTCCCAGCCAAAGAAGGGAACAATCACACCAATAAAGACCAGACCAGATAGCTATTCCACAGGACACCTCAGACATTATAACGCCAGATGGCTAGACCCAAGCACAAAAGCACAAACATGAACACTGAAGTCAACATGCCTCCAGAAATGCAATTTAGCTGACACAAGGACCTCAAAATATCAATTATGTGTTCAAATACCTTAAATGTTCAAATACCTTAGAGAGGGTGTGAATAAATGCCTTAATGAAGACTGTAAAAACACAAACAGCTGAGTGAATAAAAACATGAAACTAAAAAATGGAATCACTAAAGAAAATTCAAATTGAAATGAAAAATTTAGGGTATGAAACAAATACCTCATAGATATTCCTTCTAGGTGAAGAGTGAGTTATTGCTCTCTCAATGAAACGAAACCCATACCTGACACTGCTAAATGGTCAAGAACCTAAAAGAGAATAAGCCATGGCCAAGGGGAAAACCTACTACTATTCTGCTAAAGGAACATAGCAATAAAACGACTTCTAATGACATACTGCTATACCTATAGATCAGTGCTTCACTCAACACACATCAGTGAAGGTTCTTGCAGTAGATGGGAAATAACACAACAAGGTGCAGAGAGAGATATTTTGAAACACCTGGTCCTAAATGGAGTGTCATCATCAAATTCCTCCCTACAGAGCTCAGGGAGCTATGTGGAAGAGAAGGCAGATTTTAAGAGGAGGGGATAGATGATGTCAAGTGCACTGATGTCCCCGTGAACTCAGGGACTGCGGCAGTATGCACAAGTTCAAGCACTAAGGGTGAAGTCAACAAATGGGTCTCACTCCTAACCAAAAAGCTATCTGCAATTGATTCCTACTAGCAAAGGCAAAAGCCAGTTTTCTTCAATGGAGTCTCACTGGGTTTCTCAGCCACACCTCCAAGGAAAGTCCCCTGCCCAGGAGGCCAATACAACATAAAATCAATGATATTTTTGTGAACTTTGTTTCCTTTCGCTTTGTCATTTTTTTTTTTTTTGTTTGTTTCATTGGTCTTTTGCTTGTTTTGATTTTTGTTTTTGTGGGTTTGGGGGGGTTACTTGTTTTTTGTTTGTTTTTGAGAAAGAAAAAGACAAAGTTGGGTGGGTAGGGAAGTGGGAAGGCTCTGGGAGAAATTAGGGAAGGGAAAAAACATGATCAAAATATATTGTAAGAAAAAAATTGAGCAAAGATTATGGAATGGTCATTTTCATACTGGGCTGTAAGAATGGAAAATACAATTCTAATCATCACTTAAGTAATCAATAGTTGCCAAAAACAGAATGTATAAGAATATATTGTTTTATAATAGCTGCAAAGAAAAAAAATCGCAGAAGTGGTAATATAAACCTCCCATTTGCTTTGTAAAATCCCTTAGCTTCTCCTTTATTGTTTTTGGCCCAAAGTATTTGAATTTGCTGGTTTGATGAGAATGACTCATGAAATTATTTATTTCTTAACACATACATATTTGGCACCTGTTATTTCATTCCCAATTAAAGAAATGGTGGAATAATTCTCAGTGACAACTTAAAATTTAAAAAAAATGACTTTTAAAAATGTATGAATGTTGCACATTGTTTATTAGGTTTTTTTATAAAGCAAAATCAAAGCATTATTAGAAATCAGTTACCACCTGGCTATACTGAAGTGGTGGCTTGTACAAAAAATAATTAGGATAATAAGGCCATCTGACACACAGACAGGTTTGGATGGTGTGTTTGTTGGCAGCACAGGAGCTAAGTTTATCAGGATGTAGTTCTGTTACTTTCAATTGGATTTACAAACCCATGCAAACAAGTGCAGCTAACTATAGTCACAAGCCTTTTTTCCTCATTTCATTATAAAATTACAGAAGAGTAAATAAACCTAACTTCTGTATCTTAGTCAAAATACTACAAACCCTCTCCTCTTAGCTGACTTTCATTCCAAGATGACATGGTAGTTACACTTCAATAACTTAACTCACTTTGGTATCATGGTTTTTCCCCTTTGGGGGAAACGGGTAACTTACTGTAAAAATTTGCAATGACCTAATGATTCTGATTACTTATTTCTGAACTAAGAAATGAAATATATTCAAAATATATTCAAAAGAGAGGTCAAGATTCATAAAATCCCCAAAGACTTTGAACAGCATTACTTAAGAATGGTTTTAGATAAATATTTCTTCTCTGTTATAGCAAACAATGCATTGTCCATTTTATCTTAAGCTAGACTACAGACCTTCAACATGTACTTACCACTAATACATTCCTAACTGCTATTCACAGAAAATATTAAAAACAAGTTATTCATATGTTTATATAATAGTTAACAAAGACTTTAACTGCCTTTATAATTACTCTATTTTTTTAAATGAAAGAACAGCTAATTTCCTTTGATCTTTACCAGAAGATGGTGGATCTTATGGCACGTTAAAAGCTTCACTAGAGCAAATACTTTGCCACTTTAAAAAAAGAAAAAAGCAAAGCAATAAAATTAAATATCCACAAAATTACAGGATACATCTGAAGCAGTCTTGTGTGTAGCAGAAGGCAGTGTCCCCAAATGCAAGGAAGTCTGCTACCATATGTGAATAAGCATCTAGCCACAGCCACATTGTTACTTGATGGGCACATTCCCATCACTAGCATAACTATTGATTCATTTATGAAAACTCAAGTTGGTGTAACTTGCTGTTATTTCAACATTCAATTATTACTACTGATGACTGGATGGACAGATATTATCATATATTTTTAAATTGATTTCAAATTCAGCGATTGCTTGAAGAAACTAACAGCTGAGCCTCAATGGTTTGAAAATATTCTCCCATTCTATTTGTGCTTCTTGCACAGAGAGAGAAGAAAAGCTAGGCAGTGCTTCACATTATTTAATTTAATATGTGGCTGCTAAGCCACATGGCTTTAATTAACAACAATTTCCTTTATATATAAATATGGCAGCTGGATTAAAGTCCTATGCTTTTTGAATCTCTACAAAGCTAACAGTGATGTATGTATGTTGTATGTGTATATATGTCTATATATGAAGAGAGAGAAATTTGTTTATTTGTAAATATTTATTTGCATATCTCAATTAGTAATTATTTTGCCATGAGGTAAGTAAAGATATATAGAGGACACAGGCAAGAGGAAAAACACTGAAATTCTGTGGCCTTGGGGAGAGGAGAATCCTTTATAACATTACAGATCAGTTCATTGAGAATTCTAGCTCTGAACCACCATGCTGCACTGGTTCGCCAAAAACTTAACAGAGAAGTTTGACAAAAGCCAGTACAACAGATACTTGGCTTAATTTTTAATGTCTTTCTCAAGTCTTCTTAGTTCTGATTTTTTTTCCTATTGCTTCTATTGTTTTCGTGTTACTAAGACCCCTAAACCACTTAGTTTCTTCTTTTCTTTCTATGCAGACATGTACAGTAAAGAAAATATTGTAGGGGTTAACTATTCTAAGTTCATATAAGTACACTGAAAATGTGATTTTTGTGATTACATGGCAAGGCTTTCCAATCTATGTTTGTGTAAGAAGTCAAAGAGAAAATGGAAGTTGGAACAGATTCAAATTTCCTATCTGTTCACATATCTGTCTCCTTGCTCTGCCTGAAAACTGTGCCTTCCTGGAGACCTCTTTCTCTTCTGTTCTGATTAAGTAGTACCCAGCTACAGGCAGCAGAGTGGCTGGCCGGGCGCAGCACCTTATGTGGACTTGCGCTAGCTCTCAGGGGACTCCCAAATCAGAGATTAATGTGAAAGGTTTCTGCATCCTCCTGAGAGCTCTAACACTGTTACATCTGGTCTCTTTATCTAATTACGCTGCAAATAATCTCATTGAATGCTACTGCATATTTTATGTTTATAAGAGATAATTAAAAACAAATTAAACTAACAATTTAGTACATTCACAAAAAAAAAAAAAAAAAAAAGACAAGTCAGTAGGTTACCGGTAACAAGATTTTTTTTTCTTCCAAGAAGTATATGCCATGGCTCCTTGTCTGGGGTTTGGCTAAGATGCACTGTGCCTCCTTACTGAAGCACTCCTCAGTGTTCCCCTGCCCACAGGCCACCTGGAGTAGAGCTATTCCCATGCCTGCAAACTATCTGATCATCCTCTACTGCTCCCTAGTCCCTGGACAGCCACTGATATTGTTACCACCACAAGCCTACTGCAGGGTTTGCAGTGACTTTTGATCTATACAAATCTTACAGTAAACAGAAAAAGGGAATGTCTTCTGGGGGAAAGTTCGGATGACACTCCATTCTACTTTCAAGTACTTACTATGTCTATACCATGATGGTGTTGGCCCCATTAGTTATGGAAGGCAACAAGTTTTAAAACCTCTTTCTTTTGAAAAAAAAAATCTGAGCCTTAATCTTGACTCAGAAATCACTGGAAAAATTCATATTTGCTAATAAGCTCCAGGTTTACTCAATGATAACTAACTGATCTATGGTGGTTACTATAATTCTTGTTGATGGCAAACGTTGAAACAGTTAAGAAAAGCAGCAAGTATTAAATAAAACCTAAGACTTTTAAGGGTTTTTGTTTGTTTGTTTGTTTTGTTTTTTCTGTACACCAGGCAGGCCTCACTGGAACTCACAGAAATCCACCTGCCTCTGCTTTTGGAGTGCTAGGATTAAAAGTGTGTGACACAACACGTGGCGTTACTAGCTCAAACTTTCTCAAAAATTTAAAGTATCATTCCATAAACTATACATGTGCTTGTGTGCATGTGTGTAATTTTAAACATGTCTGCCCAGAACATTTAAAATACAAGTAGGATTATGCTGCCCTAATTACTGTCTCCTACTATTGTGGGCTCTTTGACAACTGCTGCCCACACATGTAGAGTAGATGTACTTCACTTTTCACAGCTGTATAGTTCATACTCATGAATGAGTCCTGGTTTTGTTGGTGAGTCATGGTTTTCAGAAAACATAAAATATCACCAATACACCATGTTTTATGTTTATTCTTTTGTCTTTTGGTACTGTATACTATTATAAAGAAACTTTTTTCTGCACTTCCATGATTCACAGAATGAAATAATTTGAAGTGAAACTTCTGCAGCTAAAGAGACATCTGTGTGCTTTCACAATTTTTCTAAATGTGCATATATACATATATATACACACACACACATATATAATTCCCCATGCTTACAGATATGTGTGTATACATATATAACATACATAAACTTTAATACTAGAATTGTTGGTTTAAAGCTTATGTGTTTGTGTATAGAAATACACATATACATCTAACATGCATCTATAAGTATAGTGTGCATGTATGTATATTTTTCACACATTTTAAAAAAATTTCTGGATAGTTACATGAATTACAAGAATGGAACATTTGAATCTAAGAGTACTTGTGTGTATATAATTTTAGTGCATTGTAAAGCTTTTCCAAAATAACTGCAAGTTCTAATAGTATCTGGGAAGACGTTTGCTGACAACATTTGCCACTTACAGTTATATACTTTAAGCATTTCTCCTTCTGTTAATTTACTCCTAACATCTTTTTCATATAGAACATAATTATATTCTTTGCCTATTTTTGCATCTTTTGAGGGCTTAAAGGCATAAAAATTGTTTTTTAAGCTTTGGATGGTTTTGTTTCTTAATCTTTGTGTGTGAGTGTATGTAAGTCCCTGTGTGAGGGCACATATGTGGGGGTCTAGGACAACCTCTAATGTTGGTCTCTTCCACCTTGTTTACTGCTGTATGTATCAAGTTAAGAGGTCCCCAAGGGATTCTCCTGTCTCCACCTACCAGCCAGCTGTACAAAACCAGATTACAGAGGTGGGCTACTATGTCCAGTGTTACATGCGTTCTGGGCATTCAGACTTTGTGCTTGGACTTTTATCTGCTGCACCATCTCCCCAACCCCTATTTTGTGTGTTTTGGGACAATGACTCACAGGCTGGCCTCAAATTCTTGTTCTTCCTGCCTCAGCCTCTAAAACCATCATGCCCAGTTGCTCTGATCAGTTTTGGGTTTTTTTTTTTGTTTGTTTGTTTTGTTTTGTTTTGTTTTTTAACTGTATATGTTCCAAGAGCACATGTATATGCATGTTCCTATGTATAGATGGATGTGTGAGCATGCATAAGTGCCTGTGTGGAGGACAAAGGGTAAAGTCAACCTCTCCACTTTATATATTGAGGTGTGGTTTCTCACTTGAAGCCAGAACTCACTGATTCAGCTTGTCCAGCTAGCCACCTTGCTCAGGGCATCTCCTTTCTTCACCTCTAGCAGTGGGATGACAGGATATGAATCCAATCCTCATGCCTGTGTAACAGCTGCTTTGTCCACTGAACCATTTCCCCAGCCCCATGATGTCTTAGGCTTTGTGGGATTTGAGTTTGAGTGTGAAATGCTAGTTACAGCTCAGTGATGAAGAGTCCACCTGGAACTTTGGGTTCTATTCCCAGAACCCTTCAAAAAAAGGAAAGGGCCCTTACCTGAGGGGGAAAAAATATGTTCCCTAACATTGTATGTTGGGGGGATGTGGTATTTTCTATTCCTCCCTACAGAATGAGTTTGCTAATCCAAAACAATACTGCTTTCTTTTATAAAAGACATAAAGTTGACCAACAGTTTTGGAGTTTTTGTTGTTGTTTATGGTTTTTTAGGATACTGAAAAACAGGAAAGAGAATTTCCAAGTTCCACTGATTGTGTTTGCAAAGTGACTCACAGATAACTCACTGCCAATTGACTCTGCTCTTTGGGGCAACAGACAGACAGCACCACCGAGTCCAATGGTTGGTTCTGCTGAGTCTAGCCTGTACACTTGAAGCCAAGTAGTGTCCAAGGCTTGAGCCTCTTCAGCCTCAGTCTCATCACCTGTAAAATAAGGACAACAATCTTAAATGCAAGGTCAAAATGGGTGATTCGAGTTTGAGTAAAAACATACTATCAGTTCATTACTAACATTTTGAAGAGCACATAGCCAAAAGTCACTTAAGACTCCAACACCTTCATGATTATATCTATACAAATATAAAAATTCACCATTCTTCCACATACAAAACACAGAGAACAAACATCAGGCAACAGGGGATGGAATTTAAAAGTCCAGATTTTTAATTTCACATTCTTCAAAGAAAGGCCATATTCAAGTGGCATTCCTGGAAATGGGAAACTGCCTTATGCCTAGATACCTGGAGGAGGTGAGGAGGGTGGCTGGAGAGTTCGAACTCTCAATGAGGCTTACCCAAGGTGTACATTGTTTTGGGGTTTGCTTTCACCCTACACTGATACTCAGGGGTCCTTACAGGGACCCCTAGAATGTCATTCCATTTAGCCAAGGCATCATTCTTCAGTCCTGGGTTTGAGAGGTTCTACTGCAATACCAGGAAAAAAGCAGCAAGGCCTTAGCTGAGTTGGTTTAGCTGATCCTAAATCTCACTTTCCTCCTGTGTCTAGTGCCGGGACTTGCAGCCTGCTCTATAAAGACCCTGCCAGCTCTCACCCTTATGTGGACTCTACTGCAGCCAGACCACTAGGCCCGAGTTTATAAATGGGAAGCCGAGTCTCGGACCGCAATTCCAGGTTCTGAAAGCTAGACCGGGTCCCACGTCATCTTGCACAGCTGGGCCGCCCAGGCCAGCTAGGATCTCGCCAGTGAACTCGGAACAGGTCCAGACTGATGGCCGTCTGTCCGGTGAGCACCGGACCCCGGGCACCAACGCGCGCGCCTGTTTGGGGCGCCCAGGGCTCGACTTTCCGCTTTCACTAGCGCGGAGCTCCGGACCCGCGACTGACCCAGCGCTTTCCCCGCGTCCCCGACCGCGGCCGGGTCGACTCGGCCCTCCGTTTTACCGCTCCTTCCTCCCCTTCCCCAGCTTTTTCTGTTCTGCGGCTACGGCGGCGGCGGCGGGGGAGGAGGGGAGGGGGTTGGCAGCGGGGAAGGGGGGGGGGACAGCACGGAGAGGGGGAGGGGAGGGACGCGGGGCGGGGAAAGAGGAAGAGCCAGAGCCGCGGATGCTCCTCCGGCGCTCTCTCTTAAAACCGAAAATAAACACGGTCCCCGGGCGGCCGCCTCGTGTCTGCCCGACCACTCGGGGTCCGACAGCGCCGCACCTACCGGTCCGCAGCGGGACGCAGGCCCTGCAAGCCGAAGCTCTTCCTTCAGCGCGGTTCCCACCGGAGGAGCGCAGCTACATGGCGCTCGTGTTCAAAACGCCCGCGAGCGTCCTGATTGGCGGGCTGGCACACGGCAGGCCTCGCTAATCTCCCCTTTTCTCCTTGAAATAGTTGGATTCGGAACCGGGCAGGACTCGCCGAGGGGCGTCAGGCATAGAGGAAGGGGACCGGGACCCGAATCCGAGCGGAGCGACAACGGGCCCGCGCGCGGGGCGTGCCAGGCTGGCCGCTCTGGGTGACGGCTGCAGCCAGGGGCGGGCGGTGCGCACGCGTCCCGCGGCGCCGGCTGTCACCGCGAGGGGTGGCGAGCTCGGCGAGCGGCCGAGGCGGGAGGCGTGCGCTGGGCGGGAGGCAGCGGGACCCCGGATGCGGCCCGCCGGCCCCGCGCGCGCCTCCCTCTGGGCGCCTCTGGGAAGCTTTCCCGCGCGACAGGGGACGGCGGCGCGCAGGGGCCGCGGGGCCGCCAGGGGGCGGGGATGGGCGGCGGGGGGTGGGGCGCGTGGGTCTCGGGGTGCTTCCTAACCGAATGGGCCGGGGGGCGGCGCTTCTCACCTCCCGTGTCACACGGAGGCGACCGCCGGGCGAGTGCAGCGGCTGGAGCATGGGGTGCAGGTTCCTGGTGACTGTGCGGATTCGGCGGCGGCGCGCAGATTGCCCACCTCGAGTGAGGGCTTTCGTGGTGCAGTTCCCGCGATCCTCGCGACACCGGTCAGCGAGCAGCGCACGGGCTGTCGTGGCCCTGCTGTTGATGCTAACGAGGAGCCAGCGCAGAGGGCCGCTGCTGCATCCTGAAGCAGGTAGGAAAGGCCCTCCAAAGCCGCGCGCGCACGGGCTGTGGTTCCGCGTGCTTTCGTGCATCTGCCCAACGAGGTAGAAAAAGAGGACGCGCCCCGGTGCGGACAAGGGGGGGGGGGGTTTCGCTCTTTCCCTTCGGGCGAGTTCCTTGGAGATGGCGCTCTCTCTCCTACATGCTGAGTCTGAAGGGCCCCCGCGCTTCGTAGTCCTCCTCAACCCTGCTTAAAGCTTAGAGTCCTTAAGTTCCTAAACCTGCCGCCTTGGAAATGAGTGGCTCCTGCAGTTCCCCGTTATGCTTTAGTAAACTGCGGGAGTGCGCGCACGCACACACACACACACACACACACACACACACACACACACGCATACATACATATTTACATACATACAAACACATATATACACACTAACGAAGGTTAGGTGGTTTTCTAGCGCTCTTCCACCCCTCCTTGGGGTGGGGGGGGCGGGGAGAATACCTGCTAACGGTCTTGTTTTCTAAGGGTTTGCCTATTCCGCTCCCGTCCACCAGGCCGGCTCACCCATACATGCAAGTGTAGGGGAGGACATGCGAGGGTGGCAGCAGAACATAGGTTGATGTCCAAAAATAGGAGGACAACGCGTCACTGTTTTAAATATAATCAGTAGCTGCTGCAGGAACAAGCAAGCATTTGATTCTCTAAGATTCCTCAGCAAGTATAGACAATGGCTGTCCTTAGAGTTGGAAACTTCTTACTGACTGGTCTAAGTCCCTGAAACTGTTTTGGATAGTGCCTTCATGATCCTCAGACGTAGAATTTAAACGTGCCATCCGGGAGGAATCAGAAGTAGTCATATTTTAAGCTTCCCAGACCACAATTAACATGGGTTTTACTTGAGGCCTACTGCTTGAAAAATAGAATCTGTGGTAGATTTTTCTTTTCCTCACACCTGGTGATCTGGAAGAAAGAAAGAAAGAAAGAAAGAAAGAAAGAAAGAAAGAAAGAAAGAAAGAAAGAAAGGAGAAAGAAAGGAGAAAGAAAGGAGAAAGAAAGGAGAAAGAAAGGAGAAAGAAAGGAGAAAGAAAGAAAGAAAAAGAAAACTATGTAGATACAGTATGCAAAAATCTTAGAGAAACCTGGGTTCCAAAAGTGAAGCTCCCACCCCCTGGGAAAGCTGTTTGTTGCTGTATCAATTGTCTTTTAGGCATGGAAATGTAAAACTATTGACACTACCCAGGAGGGATAGGGTGGCTGGAGCAGTTGCCTTGACCAAAAAGAAAAACAGAAAAGGAAAACTATCAGGTTTGATTTGCTTGGGTTTTGTTTTGTTCTTTGTTTGGGTTTCTCTGTATACTCCTGGCAGTCCTGGAACTTGCTCTGTAGACCAGGCTGGCCTACAACTCACTCAGATATTAAAGGGATGAGAAATTTCATTTCTCCAAAAGTTGGTAGAGAGCATTTATAAAGGATTTCATGACTTTGATTTTATTTAATTTCAAATCACAGGATCCAAGTCATCTTCCTTAATGGTGGGTTTTTTGTTTTGTTTTGGTTTTGGTTTTGCTGGGCATTTTTTCTGTACAGCATATGTTTAGCCTTTGTAATGTGTGGGTTTGAATATAGTTGTTAATGTTATGCTCTATTAAAAAGCAGTTTTATGACTCTAGTTAATATTTCTCCCTCCATAATTATACATATATATATTATTTTTCTTATTTTACATATGGATCCCAGTTCTCCCTCCCTCCATCCCTCCCATGTCCCCCCACCCACCCTCCCATTCCATTTCCCCCACACACTCCACAGGGAGGGTAATGCCCTTCCCTGATAACTAACTTATATGACATCAGCCTTCTGGAAACAGAAGCAGACACCCACAGCTAAACACTGAGCTGAACTCCTAGAATCCAGTTGCAGAGAGGGAGGAGTGATAAGAAAAGGTGTCAAGACCAGGCTACAGAAACTCACAGAGACAGCTGACCATAATTATTTTATATTAATAATTTGGTGCCTTTGGAAATCTGTGGTTAGGAAGTAGAAATTTTTAGCATTTGTAAATGTTGTGATTGTGTATTTTCAGAAATATAAAACACAGTACTGTAGTCACTTAATGTTAAAGTATGGTCTGGAGTTGTATTTTTCTAACAAGCACAAAATCCTGGGAAGACAGAAGTTGTCTTCCCCGTATTTCCAGCACTGGAGAGTGGAATGGCCACGATCAATCCATGGACCAGGGAGCTAACGGGTGTTATAGACAAGGGAACCCAGGACTTAAGGCTGTCTTTTATTTGGACTTGAGTTTTGTGCATGACGATAGACATGGGTCTATCTGCAGTCTTCTACACACCATCATCCAGTTGTGCCAGCACTGTTTGTTGAAGATGCTTTCCTCCTTCTATTGTATACTTTTAGCTGCTTTGTCAAAAATCAGGTGTTCGAGGGTGTGTGGGTTAACATCAGGATTTTCAATTGGCAGAATATGTAAAGTGTAAAAATAGGTTTTTTTTTTTTTGAAAGAAACCATTTATTGTCACAAGTAAAAAACATCAATTTTCAGGAATTATATGTAAAATTACCTAGACATGATTTCATTGTGTAAAAGGCCCAATTATCAATAAGTATCTGATAATGGAACATATGGCATGCATAGAATGTAGGCTAAAAATATGTCCAATTTCCCAACTTTCTATTTGAAACTAAGGATGTAATGGAAATATTTGAAGTGTTAATTGCCAGTGTTGGTGTAATTATGTATTTCATGTTTATATACTCCACTGCAGTTGTACTGTCTTAGGAATATATGTGGTGCTAATGATGTTGAATCACTCAGGTCCTTGGGGTGCAAATGTTTAGACATTTCTCATACAAATTATTGAATATTGCTCCAAAATATGTAAGATGTCAGTACTCTAACATTTTGAAAGTTTCTGTAGATGTGTTCCTTAGAACTTTTTAATTCCTGTGACTGAAAGTGTGTATGATAAACTTCTGTGTGGGAGTGGGGATACAGTTTAGTAGTCTTCTGCAAAAGGGACTGGGCTCAGTTTCCTATACACACAATGCACATTACCATTTACACTACTAAGCTCTACTCTACCCAGTGCCCCTTTATTCATGGCTACTTGAGAACTCTCTACAGCTTCTCCTCCTCCTGTAGCCACCTCAAGGTAAGCGCCTTACAGCTGACTTGAACCAGTATTTCAATATGTACATGATCCCAGTTGATTCTGCTTTCTACATGTAAAACAGGAGAGCCTTACTGTCTGTGTCTCTAACATTTTACAGGTCTGCCGTTCATATTGGTTCATTACTAGACTCACTGTGATGAAAATAAATAACCGCCATTTTCCCTAACTCTTGCTTATAAAGTGATATGAATCATCAAGAAAAAATGTTTTCTAATAGCAAAGCTGAACATTTGGAGCAGTTTTTTCTCTGTCTCATTCTTTCACACAGCAGTACCTTGAGCCACCTCAGACTGAAACCCCACGCTGCTAAAATGCCCTGGACCCTTTGTGTGCTTTACCCCAACCTGGAAGTTTCTGTGATGCTGTGTTTCTGTACTCTGAATTATGTAAATTATGTAAATTATGTAAATTATGTAAATGAGTATTATTTCATTTTCAAAATACAAAAGTTGTGGTATTAAGTATGAATTTTCTCTGACTTTGGAGTCTCACAAAGCTTGTCTCTAATATGGTAAAGATAAACAGTTTTTTAAACATGGTCTCATGTATTTAGCCCAGGAAGGTCCTGAAATAAACATCTGAACACCTTCTGAGTGCTTAGGTTACTAGCAGTGGGCTATCACACCTTGTTTATACAGCTCTGGGGACCAAACCTCAGGCTCCCTCAGTGCTAGCCAGATACTGTGTGAGCTGAGCAGCATCCTCTGCCAACCTCATAGCACAGGATAAGAACTTTACAAATGCCTACCCTTGTATTTAACTGTCCTAAGGGAAGAGATTACCTTCTGGAGAGCGGTACAGGAAGAATGAAAGTTGCCTAAAATTATAACAGTGTGGTGTTAAACTATGGTACAACTATAATCTGGAATGAGATGATGATTAGATTTGGGTATAGAGTTTTCCCCACTTTTCCACTATGTAGCCCTGGCTAACCTGGAACTCACTATGTAGACCAGATTGAGCTCCAACCACAAAGATTTGCTTGCATCTGCCTCCTAAGTGTTCGATTTTTGACACTCAGAGCCCAGATTGAACTGAATTCCCTGTTCTCCCACCTCCTCAGCCACTGGATGATTGTGTGTGTGTGTGTCCCCACTCTGACATATTTTTTTGTGGAACACTCAATATATTTAATACAATGTAAAGTACTTGCCCAAATGTAGGGACTTGGTGAGGGGGTAGATTTTGTTTTTCTCACTATGTAGCCTTTACTGGCCTGGAACTCCCTATGTAAACTGGTCTTGAATTCAGAGACAAGCCTGCCTGTGCCAAGTGATAGAATTAAAGGCCTGTGCCATCATACTCCCCACCCACCCCACTCCTGTCCCCAAACAGGCAATATTTAAAGCAAGACTTGGTGTGGTAAACAAGTTTGCAATTGTTTCCTCAGATTAGGAGGGATGGGGGATATTTATCATCTTCATCATACTTTTGAGTTTTACAAAGTAGTCTCACTTGATATCACTGCTAAACATATTTCATTGTCAAAGCCTCCAGCGCCATAAAATTGCACATCAGGGATGAACTAAGAGTGCCAGATTAGTCAAGAACTGAGTTGTGAGTCTCTCACCTCAATGAAGGTGGCTTTAAAGTTTGGGAAAACTGGCCAGGGCTGTGATTTCTAGTTCCCCAGACTTCAGAAAGGGATACTGCCACTGCTCTCCCCATCTCTAAGGCTCTTGGGTGTTGGGTCCCCTTTCAGCATTGGCATCCTTCCTATTATTCTTTCTCTTTGCTCACTCAGGCTGGGAATCCCTGGTTGGCAGAACTAACCTCATAGAGGTTATCTGGCATCCTGAAAGTCCCAAGAGCACCTGTGGGTAGCCAAGCTCCACA